TGGTACGGAATGTTGCAATCCACCGATGTCGGTCCTGTGACGGCGCGGAATAAGACGCCCCCACAGGCGAAATCACAGGCCGACGCAGCCGTCTCAAATCGAAGCGCAGGCGCACACACGACAGGACAATGCGCCTGGACGACGATGCCTCGGACACCCCACATTCATCCCCACACAAATTCGCAAACGGTTCCTCACGCTCTTCTGGGCCCAAGTCGCCCCTGCCCAGGTCATCGAATGGAACGTCGCATAGCCGAGGCGAAAGCAATGGGTCGCATACCAATGGGGGTCCGGTAGCCAACGGTGGCCTGCTATCCTCGACCTTTTTCGGCCACGACAGGGAAGAAGTCACACGCATCCTCATACAAAGTCTCACCGACTTGGGATATCATAACGCAGCGGGAGCGCTGTGTAAAGAAAGTGGCTGTCAGCTCGAGGGTCCGACGGTCGCCTCCTTTCGGAACGCGGTGTTGAGTGGCGACTGGCAGGTTGCGGAAGAGTTGTTATTCGGCACAGAAGCATTTGACAGTGGAGGGGGGGTCGGTCTGCATGTGTCGTATGGCAAGTCGTGGGGCAAGGCGCGGTCACGGCCCAGTTCGCAGCATATTGAGGGTCTGACGCTGGCCGAGGGCGCGAATCGCGAGGAGATGCTGTTTTGGATGAAACAGCAAAAGTATCTCGAGTTGCTGGAGCGGAGAGAGTTGAGCAAGGCGCTGGTGGTGCTGAGGCAGGAGCTTACACCGCTGCACCAAGATGTTAGCAGGTTGCACGCTCTCTCGAGGTAAATTTGCGGAACCTGCCTGCATGCTACGCTCTTGCACGTTTCTGACCTATTCCAGTCTTATGATGTGTCCATCTGCCGAGGACCTGAGACAACAAGCCCAATGGGACGGTGCTCAGGGCGAGTCGCGGATGCACTTGCTCTCTGAACTGTCAAGTCAGTCTGACCCCTAGTCTCGTACAAGACAGTTGTTGACACCCTGCAGAATCAATATCACCAAGCGTTATGATCCCAGAACATCGATTAGCCGTCCTTTTAGATGAAGTCAAGGAAAGCTGGATCGAAAATTGTCAATATCACAACACGGCGGCATCCCCGTCGCTTTACTTGGATCACAACTGCGAGAGGGACGACTTTCCCACAAAGGCTGTCCTTGATCTGAAGCATCACACCGACGAAGTATGGTTTCTGCAATACTCCAACGACGGTTCCATGCTTGCGTCGACGAGCAAGGACACGACGATTATCATTTATGAGACTACGACGTACAAGGTCATCCATCAGCTTGACCAACATGACAAGTCAGGCGTCACACATCTCGCCTGGAGTCCAGATGATCGACTCATCATCACATGTTGTTCGCAGCCTGAGAACGCTGCGCGGATATGGGACATCAAAGTGCGCCTACCCAGATCCCCAATGAGCTAGCCCTACTAATTCTCACAGACTGGCACCTGTATACAACACTTCAACGAATTCACCTATCCCTGCACGACTGCCGCCTGGGCACCCAACGGCAAGCACGTCATCATCGGCTCTCAAGACGACAAATACGGCTGTAGCATCTGGTCCCTCCACGGCTCGCTCCTGCACAATTTCTGCACCCCCGGCAGCAAGCTGCGCGCCAACGACCTGGCCATTTCGCCCAACGGCGAGCGCCTCGTCGTCGTGGCCGAGAACTCGATTGTCGTGTTTGACTTTGCGACGTATGAGAAGTTGTGCGAGTGGCAGATTGACGATGTCAAGTTGACAAGTGTGACGATTAGCCAGGACTCGCGGCACATGTTGGTCAGCATGGATCAGGACAAGATTCGGCTCATGGAGATTGAGAGTGGGGAGGTGATTCAGCGGTTTAGTGGGCATGCGCAGCGGCAGTTTATTATTCGCTCGGCGTTTGGCGGGGCGGATGAGAATTTTGTGGTTAGTGGGAGTGAGGGTATGTTGTTTTGTTGTACTCGCCCTTCTCATGCACAGCTAACGCAAAAATCCAGACTCGAGAATATACATATGGCGCTCTAACGGTCTGCTGATCGAAGCCCTCGATGCCCACCCGGGCTGCGTCAACAGCGTGGCCTGGCATCCCACCGATCCCTCTACTTTTGCCTCTGCGGGCGATGACTCGAGGGTCAAGATTTGGAGACCGGTGAATGCACCGCCGTTTCCTGGTGCGGGTGCTGGCGGTGCTGGTGCTGGTAGTGGTGGTGCTGCTGGGGGACCGAGTAATGGGTATGCGATGTAAGATGGTTTTCTGTTGCCTGCTTGTTTGGTTAGACGTGTGTGGGGGGAGGAGTGTTTGTTGTTGGCAGAGGAGAGTCTTTTTTGTGCTGTGCAAACTGACGGTGCATTCTTTGGCGTTTGTGTTGGTCTTGATATCGAGGGGAGGGTAGGTTGCCTTTTCTCTCCTGTTGTGGCCTGTTGTGCATCTGCATGTGTTTTATTTTTCAAGGGGGC